TTGATGGAATGCTGATATTAATGGCAAAATGTACTTCACCGTTATTGATGAACAACTTATTATCTATGCTTTCGACCCTGTTGGTTACTGTTGGAAGGTATCCACAATTACTTGTTTCTCTTCTATCTCAGGTAGTCTTTCATTACATATAAATCACTACCGATGCAAAAGAGATTTAGTGAAATTAGCTGTCTCATTGATAAATATAAAATCAGTGAGTAAAGGACAAAAATGTTAATGAACTACATAGTGATGAAGTTTTGTCATAAGGATCACTTATTGAACGCTTTTAGTTACGGCGACCTTTGAGTGATCACGTGGATGATGATATTGATGAGAAATCTGTCAAGAGACACTGTATAGCTTTATTATTGAGGATAGTCACTATTTTTGCTGACGATATCAAGGTTTGAACATTTCAAGGTTGCACAACTGACAATTATTCCAGCTGCTTTTATTCATTTCACATTAATTCCGAATTATCATCGTTGTCATCATACTTCTTGATTTCATTGTTGCAGGGACAAGCGGGAACCATTCTGGAATTTTGTCTTTCGATACGTCCCTTTTTATCACTGATGCAGTTAGCTTCTTGTATGCAAATAATTGCTGCATTAAGCAATCTTTGTGTGGATTTTGCGACGCAGAATAATTTCCTGTCCAGTGCTTTGTCTGACTCTTTGCATTATTTCCTTCAAACTGAAATTCAGGAGTAAGTGTTAGTTGATCTGAAAGTTTTTCTCAATGTTTTTTTTTACCATTATTTTAATTTTCATTTTCTTGAAACAATTTCCTTTTTTTTTTTATTTTTGTTTATCAAGCTTACTAGAAATGCAGAAAATCACTTGCAGGGTTTTCCAAAGCGATATAGCATTCCTGACTTTTTTTGGTTTCACTTCTCCTGCACCAGCAAATGTTGCAGAAGCAACAAAATCGTCTCTCATGCTCAACCGTCGAAGGGTTATTTTTACTCATATTTATCCTGATTATATTGAATGCCGCTTTTTTTTCAGTTTTAATTCTCAGATTGCAGTTTCGAGCACATTTATCGACTCTTGAAGGAATAATGGCACAAACTCAATCGATCGCCCCTCCTTTTCATCCCGCCTACAGTGCTTTCCGACCAGTTTTACCAGCAATATTTTTATTAGTAAAGTAAGTTTCTCTAATTGATAATTTCTTTAGCTAGACTACTAAACTTGGCAACTAAGATTGGTTGTGAATTATATGGTGTTTCATCATTACCCACTCAGTTTATTTAAAACTTAATTTGAATCTCAACTGATTATTTTTAACTGAAGCAGCATTTTACATTCTCTCTCTGTTGTTCTCATTTTTTATTTTTTTTTTCTTTTTTTATCACTTTTAAAACAGTGCCACCAAAAATACAGTTTTCGTTAGTTGATTCATAAAAAGGTTTCATCTGAAAAGATGTTGCTTTGCTTGCTGAATTTTTTGCATATTTAAATTCGTGCGTAATTTTGATTTTAGTCATTGTTACTATCTTATATATGTTCTTTACATCAAAATGTGTCGTTATCGTTTGTCAATAACGTTTAATTCCTTATTTCTTTTCTGTTTCAGACGTTTAAACTCGTTGTACGATCCGAAAAATGCGAGTGTTATACATATGTCGTATGGACCCATATCCATTTTTGAAATTACCAACAGTGAACGACAACAATTATTGACATGTGAAGCTTTTCTTTTTTGGATAGCTGCTTTCTTAGGGCAAATAATTTATATGAAAACTTTTCTAATTAGCAAAAATTTGGATTTTTGGTCCTTTCTTTGTGCAGTTAACATAGCTTGCTTTTTCTGCATTAGTGTATTGTCCATTTATCCTTCGCTTTAGTCATTCCACTCTTTTTATTCATCATCTTCTTAACATTTCATCAAAAATGGAGTTTTCAGCAGTTGATTCATGTCTGTCGTCAACCGCAAGAATTTTATCCGATGATCCAGGAACTCATGCTCGTGCATTCCTTTTTGATGTTACAGAAAAAATGCAAGTTTTTACTCTTTTCCATATGCTTTTGACTAGTGAACAGTATTAGTATTTCAAGAAACTTCACATGGTGTTCGATGTCTTTTCAGGCAAACTTTAATTGGATATTTTGCAAGTAAAGCAGCGAAGCAGCTGTTTTCGGATCCAGAAATCGGTAGTTGGGCATTGTTTCTTTCTTGCCATCTCACCTATATTCCAGATTTCCGTTTACGATTTTGGTTAAGAAGAACGTGGTATGTTTACACTGATAGGATGGAGCATTGCTGTAAAACCCGTCTACTGTCAAAAACTGCTGATTTAGTTTTTATTTTGGTAGATGAATACGGCAGAAACTTAGTAACAATAAATTTCTTCAAGGAAACCGTTTTTATGCGCATGTCCGGAAGCTGCATATCACAGTGTTAGGCAGTTGTTGTTGATAGTGATTGAAGAGTTGAGCAAACGACTGCAGAGTAGATGGAAGCAACTTGCAACTTTGGAATGCTGTTAGTTTTTTACTTTCTTTAATGATTTTTTATTTTCCTCTGTTTCTTAGCTATTAATATAGTATTGATTTTATGAAAACTTTTATGCTATAGAAGAAAATTGTTGATTTAAAGAGTTACTCAAATTTTCTTTTATCATTGAACTTTATTCAATAATTCCTTTCAAAGCTCTCACTGTTAATTATATTGCTTGTAGCCGAAGATGAGGAACCTTCTCAGGAACAATTGTTAGTTGAGCATATGGCTTGTATTTTAACACGGGAATGTACAATTCTTTTGCGGGATTTATTTGGTATTTCGGACGTAGGTAAGAAATTTATGAAAGATTCTACTGTTAATTTTCGCTGAAAATTCCCATTTCCAGTATTTGATTGTTGCTGGTTAAAATTTTATTACAGGTGACAAAATCGAGGAAGCATCCTGCATAAAAAACTGCTTCTTGAAAGATGAGGCCTGTTATTCATTCATCACTCAATATTTTGGATGCCTTTTCATCCATAATTTGTTCGGAAATTTTTATCGAAATAATCCAGTATTGAAGCTGAAAAAATTGTTTTCAAAGTTTAAATATAACTTCATACATGCATTATTTTTACTTTGTTTTTTTGTTTGACTGTGAACTATATTTTAGGTGCTAAGTTTAATATTTTTTTCAGGATGTAATAGAAAAAATTGTTGAGTGTGTGTTTTTGTGCTTAACTTATCGTGATGCAACTTCAGTGGTTCGAATAATACCTGTCTGTAGGAATGTAACCGAATGTGTTCGTTCTAAAATTCATTTGCAAGATTTTTCCTTTATCTATTCTTCCATGCAAGAATTAAAGAATATTGCTTCCCGAAATAATTTTCTACATCTTCCGAAACAAATTTTTTTCTGTTTTATTTTTCAGTTAAATGAAAGATGCAGTGAAGGAATAGCTGTCTTCATGCTTATTCAAAGTATCCAGAGTTTACAAATTCATGGATCGGATGAATTGGCTGTCACTCATCTTTTATCCCTTGTTTTTTTTATTTACTCTTCTTTGGTGATTTTTTTTTCTCGAACTTCTCATACAGGTATACGCCTATATCATATATGCTGCTGGTTTAAGTTCTCAAATTTATCCGGAATACTTTATAGACAAGTAGAGGGCGTAGAGTGATATCAGACAGAATGTCAGATATATAGCATTCATTTTAAAATTACATCTTTAGTGGATTTTGATTTTGTTAAGACATGGCTAGACGTGCTTTACGCAGACACATAAAAAATTTGTTTGTAATTTGGTACGAAAGGTTTATTTGCAGAGAGAGCGATTTTCCAGTCTGTCTCAGATATTGCAGCAAGTACCGGAATGTTCTGTAGAAGAAGTAGAAAGATTGGATCGACGGATTGCATCTATGAAGTGTAACAAAGATTTTGCAAATGAAAAAATGAAAAGAGAAATCATGAAAAAATTACTGCGAACTGTGATAGCGGCTAGTTTTTTCCCACAACTTTTGAGAGATGATTTTTGGGCTGTTAAGTTGATTGTTAATTATTTAATCCTGCTTACTGTCTTTTACTTTCTAACTGTACTAACTTTTTCTTACCTAAATCGGTCATTTTCGAAATATCTTCATGAGTCCCTATTTGAATGAATTTTTATTCTCTTTGTATCCGAACATGAATGACCTCAAGTAGATAAAGAAATTGAGACCTTAAATAGGATAAGACTATTTTCCGCTGCTTCAGCATGCTCAAAATGTTGAAAAATTATGTGGTCAAAGCATCGCAATGCTAGTCCTGATCTTTGCTTTCTTCGGTGCACTTATTTTTTGCCGAGCCATACTTTAATATATTTTAGACTTCAGTTGGTGAGCAGCACAGAAGACCAGTCCATCATCGTCCACTACCTCCTATTCCGAGAAAAAAGGAACATCCTGAAGAGGACTTCACAGACTTAAGATTTTTATTTGATGATATCTGATTTTCGTGGTTTTGTTTAAAATGCAGTGTAAATTAAATTTATGGTATATTAAGTCCGCAAGCGTGAAGCCATGATTCTGACTATGAATTGAAATGAGTTGTCGGACTGCGTAACCAGGTTCCTTTTGGAAAGTGTTGGCAGGTACCTTGTTGCCACCTACTTGAGATCTGTATTATTACTGTGAGGTGAAGCCTGGGCATTTTTAAGTTGCAAATGAACAGAAAGTCGTGTACTCCCGGATGAAACGCTGATTTATTGTACTATGGCGAACTTGCTTCCCATCCTTAACATTGGATTGCCTTTTGATTAAAGATAACGAGATTGTTGGACTGTAATTTCTTGGAAAAAATTCAATACGAAGGATCTAAAGCAGGTCCATAAGAATTAAACTCTCTTTATGACTCGTAGCTCTTAGCTTGCAGCAATGCTTGCGAGGAAGCAACTCTTATAAAATAAAGTGCAATCTTCCTCAGCAAGGACCTCTCCAGAATTATTAATATGAAAAAAAAAAAAAAAATTTATTCAAATGAAAACACATAGCTACGTAAGTGCAAAAAATCAAGATTTTTTGGACATATGATTTACAGTGGTTTCCAAACTTTGCATGCAGCGCGCCATGGCTTTTACCACATTAACATTTGGTTTGATGGATGCAATAACTGCGGGACAAGTCGCTTTATTGTCTATTTCATACCACTTCATTACTTCCACCACAAGATATGATAGAAGATGCTGAAGATCTTGTCGAAGAAAAGAAAATTGTGTAGTCTTTTGAGACTGACATTCAGCTGCGACAAAATTGTTTAGCATATCGGTGATTTCCTCAACGTGTTTCCATTGTTCGGACAATTTGCTAGCAACAGCATCGATTTCAAGTTCGATTCGTGCCATTAATCCCGGTTGCCAACTTGATGAGTGCAGCATAAGCGATGTGTACCGCGGCATCTGGAAGACATGGTAAACAACTGCGTTAAGCATTATGTATTTAAAGCTTTTAGGAAACTCAACTCCAGTTTAGCAACATTAAATGCTAATGCCTTCTGTCATAAACATTGGCGATATGTAATATTAGTACGGAGCGAATTCCTAAACAAATCATGAGATAAAAATGATTTTGATAAGCACTCCTAAGCAAAAAAAAAAAAAAACCAGTGAGAATGCATACTCATATTTTATATTAATATTAAATGTTGCCTTTTTCGTAGCTTCTAATTGGGCACTGAGATTTCTCCAGGTATCGACACAATCGACCATAATATTGATGCACTTCTCGACTTCACGAATATCACTGAGACACTTCATTATGTGGAGATCCACAGCATCGGGTAATTCTATCCCACATGAAGGTAAAACATTAAAGATGTTCTGAAAGTAAACTCCTAAATTATAGGGTGGGTGCGTGGGCTCGTAATATACGCAATTATATTCAGTGAATCCCTGTCAGCTATTCATTGGTAGACCCATCCCCTCACTTAATACAATACATCAATGTCGTTACTAAGTCCATTGTAAAACTTGTCTCGCCATTCTTGTTACTCGGTGGTTCAGGCTGGAAATTTATGAAATAAATAGTCTCCACTTCTTTCGGATGATAGAGACTCTCCAAATAGTAGCAGTATGAAGGTAGTACCATTCTATTTTCCTCCTTTTTTTTCATGCTGTCTCTCCCGCAACATCCTGACTACTAGCTTTTGGAGAGTTACCCATATAGTGGTTCACTTCTTGGTTAAATTGTCTTCAGCCAGTGTCACTAATTAGTACATTTCAAGAATAGACGATGGAATTAGCTTCATTATTATTTTATCGTCGTAGTAAAGTTTATAACTGCAAGCAACAGAACACAGGCCATTATTCTCTGACACTATCTTTTAAGTTTGCTATTTAACACGCTATCACCTGTTACAGTCAGATGGGCGACAAAATCTTAGAATTTCCTCTGCTTAATACTTCTTTGTTTTGAAAATGACTTATACAAATTGAACGGTAGCACGAAATGCGACTTCAATTCTATTGGAATTGAATCTTTTGAATAAATATTACTACAAGCAGAAACAGATAGTTGACAGTTGAGGAGGGTTTCTATAAATTAACCACAGGTAAATGGATTAGTTAATGACTCATCCCGATAAATATAAAATGGGATACAGTGATAATGTGTACGAATCCTTTTGCGAAATAAAGTTAGTTTAAACATAATTTCACTATAGCTCACATTCTCCTGCTATCTGGAAGGTGTTACAAATCCTCGGAGTAATAATTCCTCTACAATCGCAGATAATTCACAAAGTTGTAATACTACTATTCTAGTTTTTCTCCCGACTTTTTGCACAAAATATTATTCAACTGATCTACTGGTTACTGCTCAGCTTCGCGAAATGAAATTTGGATTCTGCACTTCGATATCACCAGTTGGTGCTAAACCAGGGCATTCATACACCGAAAAATTGTTCTCGTCATCGGATGTTTCACTGCTCTCATATCCATCCGGAAGCGTTATTGTGCCATCTTCACCTGATATTATTTTCTGTTTTGCTTGCTGATAATGGTGTAGTTGCGCCTAAAATTATTAGCACCAAAACAAATTAATAGCTGAAAAAGTACAAATTTCAAAATAAAATGCGTCGACAAAATACATTAGATTTTGGAGATGGCTTTTGGAAACCAATTTTACTGTCATCTCTTTCCTTCCTACACCATATTAAAGGATTTGGCATGCTGTAGTTTATCCTTAATCAATGCAACATCAAATGCAGTCAGTGCTTCGACATCCTATTTTCCTTCTGATTCCATACTTTATATAAAGGTGATATTGTTTCTTTAACGTTTTTTTTTTTTTTTTTTTTTTAACGTTCTATCCAACATTCGGGTACTTCTTTATAAGAATGAGAAAATAATACAGCCAACGTCACCAAATAATAATATTACATGTTGAAAAAGCCTTTTTTCCACTTTGCCATGTCAAATTATCGATCAAAAGCAAATAAAAATTAGAACTACACTTAAATGCTACTGTATTTTAGAATGCACTCCAATCTGTCTGTATCTAATAACGGAGTTAATGTTCGACATACCTTGTATGCCAGTCCTTCATCACCACCTTTTTTTTTCCTGCTTTTTCCAGGACCGGTGGGCGCGTATGTAAAGTCACAGCTATCTGCTGGAGATTTTTGAGATCGATCCCTGACGTTTCATTAATAAAGCACAAAAAAAAATTTTTCAAAAGTACATACAAAGCAAACAAAATGCAAAGCATTGAAGAGCGTGATTTGACCAGTATAATTCACTCAGAGAAACAATTCATTTTATATAATGAATAATGAAATGAAATTTATCGAACTTACTTGAAAAAGTAATAGCTGCCGGTTGCGACTCCAATTACCACCGCTAACATGCAAGCTGTTGCTACTGCTGGAAAAAAAATCTAAGGAACTGTAAAGACTTTTCCATTAAAAAAAACATCTGTGTGACAAACTTAAAAGAAAGAGACATATTTGAAATAAGTTTGTAAAATAATATCCAAAATATTTCAAAAAAAAAAAAAAAAAACGCTTAAGGAAAGCAATGTGTAACAAAGAAAGATAAAACAAGAAATATGGCTATCGTCAAAAATTGCTGAATCAGCACGATGAGTAAGACTATATTCTGAATATATCCGAAGTGTTCTTTAAATGGGCTCCTCAGATCTATCTTTAAATTATTCTATCCCTTTAACAAGTGTTGATGATTTTGAGCATACTTAAGCAAATTGAGTGGTAATATAAAAGTTGAAATTAACAGCATACCTAAAGTTAGGAAATTACCGAGATGAAGCATTGGTCTTAAGTTAGTTTGCTGAACCATTTGCTGATCCTCTACCCTTTTCTTCAACATCTCCCTGTGTTTTATCTGGTTTGAAACCGGTTCAATGAATCCCACATATTCGCTTTGTCCTTTTTTCTGTGCTGTTATCAATTTTGCAGCTGTTCCTTGAACGGGAGCATTTTCTGCATTTTCGATATTGATGTCGTACATAACGTTACTCTCTGATTCGCTGTATTCATCATTATAAGCTGAAATTTTATACATGTTATGTAAGGCTTTATTTCGAAGCTACGAAATTAAATTTCAACTTTAAAAGGACTTAGGTTATAAAAAAATATTAAATCCAAAAAAAAAAAAAAACACTGTCAATACTTCTCTTTGGAAGTGATATCATTAGAACCGCGTCAGCGCAACACCTGAAATCTATCAGTCGGGGCAATCTAGTGCTGGTAATTCTAATATTTGCATTAAAATTCCAATTCGTATGCAGGATTGAAGGAATACAAATTAAATCAGGAATAAAAAGAGATGAAAACAGAGTTTAACTGTGATGTTTGATTAAATTAGCTTACACTTTATCCAGGATAGTGCTGTTCTATAGTAAACTAACTTTAATTTTCATTGAAGAAAAGAAAGGAGCATAAGTAAAAACGCTTGACCCTAAATAATAGCTATGATTTTGACATAAAGTTCTAGAATTTTTTCAAAATTTGAGATTTTACATTAACCTTAACTATGAGGGAAAATATATGGTAGTGACAAATGACTGGTGACCAAATGACAGACTGATTGTTTTGAGCCCGTAAAGATGGTTTGTTCCTTATTTATACTTAAACAACTCAATCAATAATGACGAATGGACAAAAAATCGGAAGAACTAACAAGATTGTCGCCTGCCTTTGTTGGTTTGCGTTAACAAATGCATTAGAGTTGCTATCTGCTTATCACTATCATAATGTGATAACTGCGGTCCATTCTCTGAAACATAGAAATTAAAAATGGTTTTTAATTTGAATAATCCTTGCCGATAATTATTTGAATTTTCAAATTTCCAAATTTGGAAATTAGTTATCTTGGAGGTTTGAGAAAATTTTTTTTGTCATTTTTTCAAATTTCATATAAAAAACTATTGAAAAATAGATATTTCATAGATTTAAACTATTTGTTGAGAAAATTTTTATCCTTCATAATTTTATTTGCCAAAGTTTAGTCTAATGTAATATGCTCATTAGGAAATTTATTTCTATTAGTTACGTGCATATATGACCAATAATTCCTACGTATTCAAAGTTTATCATTAAAAATAAAATTTTGTGCTACTACTCCATATTACATAAGAAGATAATGAGAATTCCTGAAATACCGACACATTTGAATTGCGAAATGGTATGAATGATTAAATTTTAAGATGTGATCGTAGGATGAGAAAAAAAATAGAAAACAAGCTATATTGGTTATAATTAATTATGACAAACTATAAATATTTCAATTATTAAAGCTATATTAATAGTGATGTATGGGATATTTGTAAAACATACATAAACAAAAAACTGAAAACCGTCAGAATGAGAGAATTCGAAAAACTTTGATTTGTCTTGAAAACTTCTACCTTTTGTTTTAGAACATTTATTCATGCTGCATTAGATATTCTTTGGTTCACTGTTCAGGTAAATAATTGGTTTTTTTTTCTTCCTTTTCTGAAGAATGAACTAAGTCAGTTCATCTGACAAACTCAAAATTTAAATAATGTAAAGAGCCAGAAACCATGTCTGGTATTAAATACAATGTAGAGTTTGTTCCTATCATTTTCGTTAGGCTTTAAAAATGGCTTAAAAATCTTAAATGTTTGAAATAGAAATTGAAGATAGCTTCAGTCAGGAAAGAGTTCAAAATATTTTCATTTACTTATATCCAATGATTTTGCAGCCTAAACTGAAACCACTAGCTTTATATTTTATAACACCTGTGTTTATTCTTTCAAAAGTTACTAATTATCATTACTACCACAATTCCTGAAATAATATTTCTCCGTATTGCAGATTTTACTTAAACCGAGCTATATCGCTTATTCATTCTTCCCAATCAAATTCGTGTAAAAATTATGTCATCAATAAAGACTGTTTGGAGAAAAGTTTGATTTGCGTCTAGTGCGCGAGAATTACTCATTTAGTGTCACTTACAAAATAATAAAATGAAATCTGAAATTTTCTAGGTTATGCTGTGCAACTTTGGCCAAGGATTTAATGTTCATCGAAATACAATCCAACCAATTCTTGTACTTTTAATAGAAGGAGAGTGCAGAATCATCGAATCAGATAAAAATTCTCCACATATATTGTGTATGTGTCGTTATCACATTTATATGTTTGTCTGTTTTTAGCTTGTCTAGCTTAAAGCCAGTGTAATATGAATATTGGATGAACAAGAAACGAAAAATTACTTTGCTTCACTGAACATTGCTTTACTTCACTGCATTATGTAACTTTTCCTACGCAATATCCTAAATAGATTACTAAGTAATCTTTACTTCGATTTCAGTATTCAAATATTTCCTTTTCATCTTAAATAAGTTTGGAGAGAAACAGAAAAAACGAAAAAGAGACATAAAATAACCTGGCTAAAATATGTACTTAGCAATTCGGCGGCACATGTTGGATATATTTTTTGCCCTCTTTAAAAAGATTAATATTAATTTTTCTATACAAATCATATACATATTTATTAATCCATCAATTGAGCAAAATTATTACACTGTTCTTTAGTTTCAATTAACAATAAGGACTTGCATCTACTTTAATTAGTTATTTGGAATTCAAAAAACCGAACTGATGAAAATTCCAGTCAGAAAATCAGCGTCTGGTATCTTATAGACAGTCAGTAAATTTCAACAAAAAATAATAAACGCTTTCAATAAATAGGATATCCATGAAATAAAGAAAGAAAGTTCACTTACAGAAAGTTCTCTTTTCCTTTTTATTATATTTGAGCAATATAATGCATTTGAATAAATGGTTCTTCAACATATTTAAGGAAATTTGAAATGTTTCATATTTCAATTTTCAGTTAGGTTAAACAGCACCGCAAATACCCAATCTTCATCAATCAAATAAGTTTTGTTTGAGAAACCTGAATAGAGCTTTTACCTCCAAAATGAAGTGACTTAACTAATTGTTATTTTCGATTTTACTGTTTCACTTTTGATTCTTTTATTTTTATCTTGTTCTTCGTTTTTGGCTGTAGAAAGGAGTCTAATTGAATATTCGGTCACTGAAATATAAGATCTTAATTACTATCTTAGGATTTAATCTATTCCAGTTCTGTCGTAAGAGATGCTCACAAAACTATGTATATATATATATATATATGTATATACGTGTGAAAAAAAAAAAAATGACACACAAAAAAGCTTAAACATGTGACATGAATCACATTATTTACAGCAAATCCAGGAATTTTATTTCCTTGGCATGACGAACTTATTTCTAAGCCTCATTTCTTCTCTCTCCATGTATTTCTTTCAAAACATTTAGTTCTTTTAAAAGTCATTTAATTTTTCTTTGTTCACGATTAAGAATAGGAAAAGATTGCAATGATGAGTGCTGATAAAACATAAAGTGCTCTCATAACAACTGAATTCTCAAATATTTGAATTTGGCTTTTCTCTCTTTATTTATCTCAAAAGAAACAAACAATTGTAATTTTTATGATTTCTAAAAAAAGCATGACAAGGATATTAGGATAGCAACAATAGCAAAAAACAATATTGTCACATAATTAGCAGGTACTGGTCATTAGTTAGTAAGTTTGAAATTTCATTGTCAAAGTTAATGTTTTACATGCAGTATAAAAGATAATGAAGAAAACTTGCCAACGGCATAGAATGATGCATGTGAATGAAGGAGCAGAGCGGGAAGGATCGGCCACCACATTCTGTCCGCTCCTCGCGATGACTGCTGGGAGGCAGAAACATCTGTGAGACTTGAATCAGTCAGCAAGCTCGCAGCTACTGATGGCTCTCGTGTATCGATCCTTGGAGACAGCCGAGTCGAGCGCTTGGATTTGCTAGCCGAAAAAGCCTATTTCTCTACTTCTCGACGTCATTCCTTTAATAGACATGTTTAGATCCTCAGTGTTTCTATATGTGGCACTGATACGATTAGATCAAAAGAGATGGCAGAAATCTGCAGGGATGATATTATTGTATGAGCAAATAATTGTTCGTACAATATGAAATGGATTTCATATTTGTCATTCGTTATCTGTCTCGTCTGGCATATTTTCACTGAACAGTTAGTGTCGTTTCACTTGAGCGGAGCGATTGTCCCTAGTGATATGCATGGCAGGAAAAACACCCCTGGAATTAAATGAGTTCTCAAGTGCATTTCAAGCACATCTGGTACAACTATTTCATTGCTAAGCAGATAAGGTTAAGTAAATGTACATTTCATTGCTTGGTGATCATGAAGTATTCCATTTCTTAGAAAACAAGATAATTTGGCAAGCTTTTTATCTTTTATTAATCTATGAATTTTCAACGATTTTAAGAACCATTTTCTTTCTCATTTCAATAAGATTTCTTAGTAGTGAAACAAAAATTAAAACTATTGTCAAAATATAAACAAGAACAAAAAGTTCCCTGTAAGTTCTTGCCGATGATGATGCGCTTCTTACATTAAGCATTATTTGAAACCTTAATTAGCATGAAAGGTTATATCAAAAATGTTGTTTTATTTACCTTCTTGATTATATACAAAGATACATAAATGATGATTGCAAATTGGTAACAAATATGATAATATAGAAAAATGAAGTAATATGCTTTTCAGAGCTTCCTTATCATATTAAACCTTTGTTTATTTTGGCTCCATAAACTATAGCAATAGCTGCTGTTTGTGGGCTAAAATAAACAATAGATACTAAAATAACTCAGTTATTGCCGAGATGGAAGTTTGTCATGAATTTGAAAATTCCATTGTCACAAAAGAATACAAAGTGTGTACAAAATTAATGAAAGCTAAATCAGTTATTCATCAAAAAGTGTTTGTTTCAATTGATTTCTTTTCTTAAAAATTTCTTTTCCTGGTAAACGTAAACTAACATAACCATGTGTTACTAGTTTTTTTAAATGTTATTTAAATATAAAACTTTATTCCAACTACAAATGTAAGTTGTATTACTGTAATTCTTTTAAATTTGAAAAAAGTGCAACTGAGTAACCATCTTATTTTGTTTTAGATAATGTGAAACAAATTCATTGTCGAAATATATGCAAACGAAAGAAAAAAATAATCTTGCTGGCATTTAATTTGGTTACACGTTCGAATATGGCAGGATGAAAATGAAAATGAGTATATAAAGTTATTATGGCATTTCTGAGCTTGGTTATGTCGTACAAGTATCAAAAACTTAATGAGAATTCTGTTAATAATTCAGTTTTGTATGTTTCCTCAGCATAAACAGTCATTCATGTTAGCATAAACGTCTTTCCTTTCCCTTTCTTCTATGATAAACAACACAGACCGCTCTCCTCTATACCAAGATTTAATATAAAGGTTTCTTTATTGAGTTTGAAAGGTGCAGTTGTTATGATTTAAAATCACTTTTACATCATAGTAAAAATATTTTTGAATATCAGTTCCTATTAAACCCATTCAAAACTCTCAAATATGAATTAAGGCGAATACATCTTGTATCTCACTAAATCAATAAATCATATCCCAATAAATCGATATCGATTGCTTCATCTTCTCTTTTAGACATATTTATGGTCCGAAATTTCTTTGTGTTTTTCGATATTCTTCATCTTAGTTCTCGAAAGAGCACATGTTTACCAGCAGTAATGATAGCTCAACAAAAAAGTATTAACGCTTGATAATTAAGACAAACTCATCAGTCATAAAGCTTTTTGTTGACTGTTTTTGTTGTTCTGTTCATCTTCAGATTGTCGACAGAAAAGAACGAATTCTCAATTCACAGCTTTTTGTTATACAGTTAGTTGTCTTCCATTTTTCTTTTGTATTTCATTCTATATGAATTTAGTAATATCACACATTATGAAACACGAAATCTTTGGATGATATTCCTTCGAAAGCAATTTTAATATTGTATAATTTTAATTTGCATAGATTATGGGAATAAATGGATTCATTCACAATAATTTGGTACAACTATGTTGTATTTTTCCATGTTGCAGCAAGTATCAAAATTATCATCAAATTAAATAGCAAGAGAGACATCAGAATGGGAGCAAGAGGAAGAATTTCATCACTTTTATTGTAAATAAGGACAGAAGAATTAATAAATTTTACAATGACATGATAAATAATTTTAAAATTAATGAAAAATATGATTTCCGTTATTGATATTGGTTTGGATTGAATTCAATAATTTTATCTCAAATTACTTTGACACATATAATTGGTCTTTAAAAAAATTTAACAGAGCTATAATACAGAGGTATGATAAGAGTTAAATGGAAATGTGATAATTGTAAAATGTAACGATGAAAAGTGATGTGCATTTGCTATCTATGAACAATACCGTTAATTAAAGGAGTGAACGAAGCCAATTAGAAGAGAACAGTTCTGCAGCCATACAGAAAGGAGATGAGGAAAGGTTAATTTCTTTTCCTATTTCCTGTTTCCTAATCATTTTAGAACATGGATTTATGTTTCAAAGTATTCTAATCTTAGGTTTAAACATACTTAGATATTGTTCTTACTTTAACTTTGCATTATTGCTTTTAATAAGCTGACTGAAATACGGTTTTTATTTTTTAGATTAAACTTATTTGGATAACAACGAGCATTACTTCACCTAATCTTTTCAAAAGCTAAAGTTCTAATATCTCACAACTTTTCACAGCCTCAACTTGCTATTTTTCTCTCATTTCAACAGTAATTTTACTCTAAAGAAAAAATGATTTAAGGAATAGAAAATCTGAGTTGTACATAACTCATGTACTTACTTTACTATTCCGGAAGATATGGAGTCGAAAATTTTCGTTTCTAATTGTTCTTTCTGTTGCGTATACCTTTTGTACTCTTACTGTATTATCACTTTATACTTTTACGAAATGATTTGAAATAAAAAATTAGGTCATTGTCCTCTTCTCGCATTCACGAACGAGATATAACACATCTACTGAGCTTATCAGTGATTAGAGATCAATGTTAGGAATAATTGGCTATGCACATATCCCCTTCCGCTCTCCCATGCCAAAACTCTTCTTGAAATGCCACTGTTGCAGGTTGCAAACGATTTTTGTACCATTGCTATTACGTCCACCATCTGCGCCTAATCAGTTCCAGGTGGGAAGGCATTAGTAGTTGTAGTATGGTTTCTATCCTGCGCCGTTTTCTGTTTCTTTACTTGTATATTGTTAGCGTATTTTTGTGCATACCTCTTTCGGTGGTTATCTGGTGGTTACGACGAAAGTTTGACGAGGATTTGGTGGCTGGTGATAAACAGGTATTATAAAATTTCGGAATTTGGCTTTCTAAATTCAGATTTTATTTGTCGATAATGGAAAATTAGAATTACGGGACATGGTCATTTACATCTGAAAAGTTGTTTATTTAGTCTAGTGGTAATTTTACAGATAGGATATTACCAATCTAATGAAAATAAATCAAGTAATATTTTATTTGATTTTGTTTGTTTTAGAATTTCATCTTTTTTAAGATTACTTATGCATTTAAAAATTCATCCATTTCCTACTCGATAGTTCCAGTCTCAAAGATAACATCGATGTTAATGTATAAAGTCGAATTATTTAGATAATTAAATAACAGTTCTTAATCATTTATAGTCGCCGTTACCAGAACTCTAACATATTGTCAACAGCAATAAATTAGAACTGTTGTGCTAAAATCCATCCTTTAGTCATTTCTGATGCTCATTTCAAATTAGTCAGTCGTAATTTTGGGTTGTAGAAAAAAAAAAGTTTCAAATAAAAAAATTAGTTGCAATTTTCTGCTTGCTAAAAAATGTGTTTTCTTTAAAAAAGAGACAAAGATTTTGCACTGTCATCTTTTCATATAATAAATATTAAATTAGTCTATATACTATTTTCTTTTCAAATAGAGATACAACCAAAGTTTTTATTAAGTTGTAATTTGCCTGTTTTAATAGCTGTTCAGTGATTGGTTGCCATTATACTCGGCTTCTCGAGCATTCTTAGAAGTTAACAATCGGAAAATAACAGTTTTAATATACTTGCAGAAAAAAGTCGGAATCTTTTTTTATTTAATGTTATATACGTCATATCCCTACTATGCTTTAATTCTTTGATGCATTTCACGTGTATGAATTCAACTATGGTACATCATTATAGGAAATGCGAAGGTATTCTGCAAAAGACTGAGAAGGAAGGATTGATTGCTGGAATTTAAATTTAAAAACAATTTTCTAAGTAATATTTTAAGCGGCTTAATTTGGATAAAAAGATTGGTTCTTAAAAGACAGATTTCTTTCTAGACTAATTTCGATACAAAACATATATCTTTTACAACATGTTCCTCAGATATGAAATTTAAACTAATAGCCTTATTGCTAATGTGTGAGTATTTCCGATGATTAATATAAAGGTAGGAATTTATATCTTTTCCGATTTTTTAACGAGATTTGCTCACTTATCTAGCCTTAGGAAACGACAAAAGAAGAGACTCAAACAAAGTTAAGTACAAAGAGTGAAGAAAACGAAAAGAAAGTAAACAAAAGAGAAAGGGTGAAGGAAGAATAGCTAGCAAATGCCGCTTGCACAATCTATCAGATTTGGTATATCGAAAGTTTCAGATATCAGTAAATGATTGCTTCCTGTTTTTCTTCGCAAAGTAATTGTCGATTATCGTTATCATTAATATATGACTGAAAATATTTTTTGAAGTCCGTCGGTAATTGCAAATGATTAACAGCTTATTTTGGCAAT